GCATTGGAATGAATTTATTTATTGAGATCTATTTTCTGTAAAATTAAGATGATTCTATCAAATTAATTTGATTTCCAAAACAATATTTTTTGTTAACTTGAATTATTTTGGAGGCGCACTTATTTAACGCTCATATTATCCCAATATACACGATAAAATTTCAAGCGCATATGTTTTGGAATTTCTTAAAAGTCACATATTTTCTTTAAGATTTTCACTAATGTCGCCATAATACAAAATTCATTACATGGTGATCTTGACACCAACTCTCAAACCTATTTTTACCGCTAAAGATTTCCATATGGAGAAAATTTTTTTAGAAGAACAGAACAACAACAAGCTAATTTATGGCGGTTGCTTTGAAGCAAATATAAATTAAATTGGATTTATAGCTGATTTTCTTAAAAGCGTAATAAGACTGCTTGAATACAATTTTACTCTTAAAGAGGCTATGAGAACCTTTTGTAGAGTATGAGGCTCATATCTTTGAAAAATAGACTTGAATTTTATAGAACCGGGTTTGTAATAAGAAACGTGTTTTTTTCTCGAAATTTGGTTTTCCTTTTCTGCTAAGTTGGATTTTGATACTGTTTTGAAAGTTATGCTTAGATTTGATAGAATTGACCTTGCTGAATTCATATGTTATGATTATTTTTTTTAAACACACACAAAGCCCGGTTTAAATTGACAAACCTACGTATTTTTGTTAAAATTTGGTTTTTATGTTCAGCCAAGATGGATTTTGGCTCCTTTTTTTTGAATATTACACTTGGATTTTGGTTGAATAGACCTTCTTGAATCCACGCGTCTAATTAAATTTGTGAAGAACGCAAAATTGTTGAGAACATAACGTTTTTTATAAGAACTGTTCCGTTTGTGGTATTCTGCTAGAATTTATCAATATTCAAAAATCAATAATCAAAAATCAGCTTTGCTTCTATTCATCTACATTATTACCAATGTTCTTCTTGAAAGAATACAAAAACTTATGCGCGAAATGTCTTGTTGATAACCCGAGTGTCAACATTTGATAACCCGAGTGTCAACATTTATGGCATTAGTGTCAAAAATCACGGCTTCCAAGAAGTATAAGGTTAAAGCGAAGGCTAAGAAAAAATGTGAGCGTTTGAAATATACGGTTAAGATGTAATGTCAAACGAATTTTAAATGTTTTTTTTGTTTCTTTTTTATTTACCCCTTCCTCGACTGGTGCGAGCATCGAGTGACAAAAGAAAAACTTGTGATTGGTTCCGGGAATGTTTCGGCCATCGTTGGTTACACAATACACAGGATTTACATTAAACTAACACTTCACAATAAAACTACACTGAAGAAATTAGAATTACGATTTTCATAATATGTTTCGTATGAACGAGCATTTTGATTCGCATTTTGAGCTCTGAAAATAGTTTCATACGACACGTATGGTATTCATAGCATGCTTATAAAAATTACACGACTCAAAAAAATTTTTTTTTTTTTCAATCTTTATTTTAGAGATTTTTAGCCTTAGGCTAGTTCATCTCTAACTCAAAAATGATTCCCATACGAAATGCGTGTAAATTTCATACGAGGCTGCAATGAACTGTTGATCTTGTAGTTCCGGCGCTTAAAATTTTACAGTTACTTTTTGAGTGATGTTGATTACAATACAAAAAAAAAATCAAAAACAACGCTTCAACGTTTAATTTTTCTTTGTTTATACAATAATTATGAATTTATGATTCCAATGTGTTTTACGAGAGAAGTTATGGATGAATATATTCACATGCTTAACATTGTTTTCCTTGCTAAAATGTGAACGTTGTTAGGTAGGGAACGATTTTTTTTGATTTTTTGGCCCAATGTCACCTCCACTTACGGTATCACTGAAACACTTACCAAACAAAATCTTAGACTATACCATTTAGTCTAAGGGTAGTGTCGAAATGTTCCCCCGAAATTACATTTGAACACTACCCTGAAATGAAAGGGGATAACTTAAGGCTTCGTTGGATGTGTGGCTCAGAGATACTGATTTTTTTTATTATCCTGAAATATTTTATTTGATGATGAAAATGTGTGACAACCTGTTTGACAATCGATTTAAATACATGCGATGTTTGTGTGACTTACACACCTACACACTTGCTAACGACTACGCCGGAGCTGTCCTCATACGAAGCAATTAATTTTACTGATGTTACAATGAACAGCTAATATATAAAAAATCACCATTTTACCACATTCCATATAGTTGCAGAGAAAAAGCAAGGCCTACTTCGTTCAAATTTACACAGAAATCAATTTTACGAATCCAGATCTTATGACGGACCATCTGGTGACTACTCAGAGCTATTGAACAGCTAGTGTATCTATAATTACCATTTTACTTCATTTCACATAGTTGCAGAGAAAAATCAAGGCCTGCTTTGATCAAATTTACGCAGCAATAAATTTTACGGATTTTCCGTATTTTCTGGACCACCTGGTGATAACTCAAAGCCAATGACCAGCGAATATAAAAAAAAAACCCATTTAACTACATTCCATTTAGTTGCAGGGAACAAGCAAGGCCTGCTTTGATAAAATTTACACATAAATCAATTTTACGGATGTTCCGGATCTTCTCACGGATCATCTGGTGACTACTCAGAGCCATTGAACAGCTAATGTATCTACACTCCACATAGTTGCAGAGTAAAATCAAGGTCTACTTTGATCAAATTTACACAGCAATAAATTTATCAGATTTTCTGGATCTTCCAGCGGGTTATGTCGTGACCACTCGGAGCAATTGAACAGCTAATATAACAAAAATCACCATTTTACTACATTTCACGTAGTTGCAGAGCAAAATCAAGGCCTACTTTAATCAAATTTACGCAGCAATACATTTTACGGATGTTCCGGATCTTTCGGCGAGCCACTTGGAGCCAGTGACCAGCGAATATATAAAAAATCATAATTTTACTTCATTATATACAGTTGCAATGAAAAATCAAGGCATACTTTGATGAAATTTACGTAACAACCAATTTTACGGATGTTCCAGATCTTTCGGTGGCTCATCTGGTGACCATTTGGAGCCAATGACCAGCTAATATTTCAGAAATCACCATTTTACTGTATTCCATATAATTGCGGAGGAAAATCAAGGCCTAAAGGCCTACTTTGATCAAATTTACACAGCAATCAATTTTACGGATGTTCCGTATCTACCAGTGGACCATCTGGTGATAGCTCGGAGCCATTGAACAGCGATGGATCCGGATGGATTTGAGTTCACTCACTCGACAAAAAGTGACACAACAGTGGGGCCCTGTTTACTAAAAATGAACACATGAATAATACTCACGTAACATTTGAAACGGGTCTATCAACTTATGTACACAAAACTTGTTAAGCCTTTTTCGCGCGAACCGAATACGCTCACGCAAACTAACAACACCATCGAGCAGAGGAAATTCTCCCCTTCCCGATAGTGCTCTTGGTTTGCGTGGGCGTACTTCGATTCTCGTGAAAAGGACCTAGCAAATTATTTACAAAAGTTGATAGGCCCTTTTCAAATGTAACGCGAGCATTATTCATGTTTTCATTTTTAGTAAACAGGGCCCCGCTGTTGTGTCAAAAAAAATTCAGTAGATGAACTAAAGTTCACCCGTGCACAGGTCTATTGGTCCCAAGCAAATCGATTAACGTGCCCCATTCTAGTCGAAATTCTAGTACTACACAATGTTTGTTTTCATTTGCCATGAAAGTTTGACAGATAAAATGAGGGGTTCGTGGATTTTCCTATGTTTCGAGGGGTGCATCGATTAGCTTAGGACCGAAGATAGTACCAGAGCTGAGCCAAAAACTTGAGCACTTTTCTTCGGGACCTACTAGTCTTAAGGCCGGCGCACAATGCATACGTTTTCGGGTTTTTTGACAGATAATGCATGAGCTAACTGTCAAAAAACCTGAAAACGTATCTATTGTGCGCCGGCCTTTAGAGTTACCTCTATGGTATTATTAATCATTAGTTTACAGGCAACCTATTCGCGATATATTCCACATAAAGTTGATCGATGTTACAAAACCAGCCCAGTGGCAGGCGCGTAGGCAACATGTTATACTTGGTTATACCGTGACAGCAGGCCCAACCATCCATGGACCTTACTGACTACCATAACCATTAAAGTTCTCAAACCATAAGTAAAAAGGTTCTAATATAGTTTTCTTTCCGAAAATGTATGGAGAAAACAAGAATTTTGAATGGTCATGGTTCTTAACAACCCATTATTTGTAAGGTTCACTGCCAAAAAACATAATACATAAGGTTAAAACTTAATCACGCAAATGTTCACGCATTACTCGAAAAAAAATGGCACAAGCTGCAGGCAATGTTTACTAATCATGAACACTAAATGTTCATAATTCATTATTCATGAACATTTAGTGTTCATGATTAGTAAACATTGCCCGCAGCTTGTGTCACTTTTTCTCGAGTGAGTAAACTCAAATCCATCGGTGCACTCGTCCATTTTCGGTAAGGTCAAGTTATGGTTCGCGTTTATGTGGGTTATCAATGCGGCCCTGAATCCAATACTTTTTACGTTTTTCGCGGAGAACATCGACGCGGCTAATTAATAAACGGCAAACAATATTTTTTTTCAATTTTTTTATGCGGATAGAATTTGGAGCATGCATTGCAAATATGCGTTAAAAAGTGCAAGTTGATCAAATATTTCCTACTGTCATGGATCATCTCTCGGGTAAAACAAATTGTATGGAATAAGGATTAAGTCAATCGTCAATCGGATTTGGCGGTGGCGAAATATCATTTGAAGAAATAACCGGAGACAAATGACCCATGCAGTGATTTTTTTTTTGGCGGCGAAATCACCGACTGCGCAGCAATGACTTGATCCCATAACACAGATAATTTAAACAAAATAAAAAAGTTCCCGTGTTCTCCGATGTGTGTCACAGGTTTCTAATTGTTCACTAATCAACATTTTGTTGTTGTTTTATTTTAGAATCTCCAAAGTCTCCGATAGGTGAGCTTAATATTTCAACAGATTCAGGATGTAGCACTCCTCGAAATACTCGAAAACGCGGCAATTCATTCAAAAGCGATTCACCAGTGCCATATGAATGTGATCATTCCCCTATACCAATGTCACAAGATGCAAGCAATCTTGTATCTGGCGTATCTTGGGCCTGGAACAGTCCGAAACGAGCCATTGCAAATGATCATAGACTTCGTCAAAAGCCATTAAGCAGTAGCAATCAAATTTCATACAAGGATCCAGAATCTTCTCGGTCTTATCGGAAGATAGGGTCCGACAAGCTAACCGGGTTTTATAGGTTCCAGTCAGAACTAAAACTTTTGCAAGAACGTGATGAACCAACTAGTGATCCATTTGAGGTGCAAAAAACACTAAGTTGTTCCTCGATGCAAGTCGTACCACCAACATCACCTCCACCCTCTCCCGACGGAGATAATTTGTTCCTGATAAAAAACCCGAACAACAAAACATCAGCAAAGAAACAAAGGCGTGAATCACTTATTGTTAAACCTAGAGTTAGCTCAGAAGTATCGGATTCGTTCAACAACTCAGATTTTGATAATTTATTATTGCAAGCAAGCCAAGCTGTTGAGCGTGATGAATCAACTAGTGATACATTTGAGGTGAAAAAAACACTAAGTTGCTCCTCGATGCAAGTCATACCACCCACATCACCTCCACCCTCTCCCGACGGAGGTAAGCTCCAGCATAAAAATGTGAATAAGAAAACTTCAGCAAGGGTTCATTCGTTCAACAATTCCGATTTGGATAATTTATTAATGCAAGCAAGTCAAGCTGTAGAACATCAATTCGACGCTACAGTTATATTGCCGAAGCGACCAAACTTGACCACGTTAACTGCTGAAGAGCAACAACCTGAAAAAAGTAGAAACTTCTTCAAAAGTAGAACCACCGAGAACTTCGACTCAAATAGTGATGACTCGTTCCCAGAATCTGAACTCGAGCTGCTATTACAACACGTGGTATTGCCTGGAACAACGAAAATCAACAGTGAAACTACACTGGATAATAAAGATTCAAAGAAGCCTTCTGTTGGATACTTGAGTAAAAGTAGTTTATTGACGCGGCACAAATCAATGCCAGAATCTCCGAGCCACAAGATAACCAACTCTAGGACCAGGAATACGAAAACAGGTGTGCAGTCTCCTCTCTCAATATCCAGTTCCTCAAATGGTAAGTTTATGAGGCTGATTCAAATATATTTTTTCTTATTATATTCTTATTTTTTTAACGTGCATCGGGGGGTGTCATTTGTTGTATTCACCAGGAACTTTTCGCTTTTATAGCTTAAATTATATGAGAATAATCTGCTCGTTTTCAGGCTTTTCTGTGAAATGAGTAAAATTATTGGGGCGCATAACACAGCATTAACATTACAAATTATGAATTTTCAAAACCTTCACCATTTAAAAAAGCCACTTTTTCCATCAATTTGAGCCTACTGAAAGTTTTCGACATTTTTTAAAGAGGATCTAAGATCCAAATCATGCTTGGCATACACAGTTTTAAGCCGGCGCCGGTGGTGTAGTGGTAAGCGTGACTGCTTTATAACACCCCGATGGGTCTGGGTTCAATCCCAGCCGAGGTCGGTGGGATTTTTCTGAGGCATAAAAATCTCTGGTCACGTCTTCCTTCGGAAGGGAAGTAAAGCCGTTGGTCCCGGCCCATGTGTGTTGAATGGGTGCGATATCCTACGCAGGTGTGGAAGCTGCCTTCCTGCACATTCGATTGCCGTCAATGAATGGCAATCGATGTCCGTCGGTGATTGGCACTAGATTGCGGAACAGAGACCGACGTTAAATAAAAGAAAGAAATACACAGTTTTAGTCACGAACTGCTCATTTGCTAATAACTTTGCCTAGAGTTGATGAAACATAGTTCTTGTTGAAGTAGTCGATATAATAGAGTTTAAACTTGTGATAGCTACGTAAAAAAAAACAGATTTTAATTCTACCTAGGTAGTAATAAACTGTATTTGATTTTGCGTTGCAAAAATGAAGTGAGAAATGCTCGCTGCACATCTCGGACTTTAAGTGTAGAAATTCATTAGTGTTGATTCAAATGTTAAGAGTAAAGTATGATCCTAACCTATCAATTTCTATAAAGAAAAATAAATTTTAACAACTGAGTGAAAAGTTATTAACAAATGAGCAGTTGGTGTCTACAAGCCAAGCATGATCCAAACGTTTGAGAGCATTAATAATACACCAAACCTTCTAAGTACTTGAAACTGATTTTATTATGAATTGATTATATTGGATTTATTACGTCGCTAGTGGAACACAATTGCACTGGCCCTCAACTTAGGGTTCTCAACAGTTGTTATTTGCGAGCTTTCTTATCCGTTTACAATTTTTGCTTTGGGGTCGTCCATTAATTATGTCACACATTTAGGAGGGAGGGGGTTTGAAAGAGGTGACGAGCCATACAAAAAAAAAATTAAGGTTCATACAAAAAATGTGACAAAGGGGGGAGGGGGGTTGAAAATGGGCCAAATTTGCGTGACATAATTAATGGACCATCCCTTTAGTATAATCCGCGTCATTAGGATACACTTGTATGACAATCTTTAAACATGGGCATTATTTGTATAATAAATTATGAGCTAATACAAAAACTATACAAATAGGAACATGGATGTGTTCATAGGGGCCTCATAGCCTAGTCAGTAAAGGTACGGTATTACCAAGCCGGAGGCGGCGGGTTCGATTCCCGGTCCGGTCGAGGGAATCTTTCGGGTTGGAAATTTTCTCGACTTCCCTGGGCATAGAGTATCATTGTGCTTGCCACACAATATACAAATTCATGCATTGGTATTGGCATCGAAAGCTCTCAATTAATAACTGTGGAAGTGCAACACTAAGAACACTAAGTTGAGAGCACGCAATAAGCTAATATGCGCTAAGCAATAAGCTTGAAATGCGAATAAGAAGAAGAAGGATGTGTTAATAATTTATAATACAAATAATGCTCATGCTCATGCAGTGATTATACTCATACTCTATGCCCAGAAAAGATAGAAATAAATGTCTTATCCCGAAAAATTCCCAGACCAGAGCAGGATATCTCAGGATATCCAATATATTTTTTCACTTCACAGCATTTTTTTTATTACACAGTTAATTAGCAAATCAATTAACGGACCCCATTCTAGTCAAAACAGCACTACACAATGTTTGTTTTGATTCGCTATGAAAGTTTGACAGATACAATGAGGGGCTCGTGGATTTTCCTATGTTTCGAGGGGTGCATCGATTTGCTTGGGACCGAAGAGAGTACCAGAGCTGAGCCAAAAAGTTTAGCACGTTTCTTCGGGACCTTCTGGTCTTAGAGTTACCTCTATGGTAGTACCATACATACATAAAAACATAGGAAAATCCACGAACTCTCATTTAATCTGTCAAACTTTCATAGCCCATCAAAACAAACATAGTGTAGTACTAGAATTTCAACTATAATGGGGTACGTTCAACGATGTACTTGAGACCGATAGGGGAACAGTGTGAGCCAATTGAAAATCGTTAGTTTTCACCGGTTGGTAGTACTGTAGGGTACAATCAGGGTGGCCAGATTATTTTGTTCACTATCGGTAGGTTCTCAAAACTTTTATAGTAGGCCGTCTTAAGAACGCTTTTCCAGAAACTTGAAACCCTTTTGAGCGTTGGCCATGTTCCTATTTTGGTCACCTTTTGACAATATTTCACGTTCTTTACAATTTTGAGATGCTCAGTTGCGTTCAGTTTGTTGGTACAAATCATATGGATCGGTGTACATAAACATTTTGACCCCAACATGCACGAAGCTATTTAATCGCTTTTCTGAGGTGTGGAAACACGACATCAAAAAAGGGAGAAACAGAAAATAGCATCAGACCAGAAAAAGAGAAAGTCGATTAAACGTAGAAAAAAAACTCATCCGTACACGGTAAGAAAAAAATACCCAACAGCCAGTTCACATTTACCTACTATTGACTAGTTTGTCTCCTTTCCTCATTCAAATGTTGTCAAAAACTGAGCAGCAAAACCACCCCACAGGGGTAGTAGTAAAGTGTGGGAACCCAACGTTGAGTATAATACGAGGTATACTCATATTTATCTCTTGGGTACAACTAACTTGCTTTTGGGTAGAAAGCTAGTGGAAAATTTCACACGAATTCCACACAAGTAAATAAAAACTACTTTGACCCTCTTTATCTACTTTTTGGTTCCTGCACTATAGTGCCGAGATGAGTGAAAAGAACTTACTTTTGGGTGCTTTTTTAATTTCACCGTTGGATTGGAGTTGCAAAACACATCGCGTTCGATCAAACTGACTAACTAACTACACGGAAAACAAAACATAGGTTTTGAATTTTTTTTCAAGATTGCTAAGGCTGTGTTCCAATGGTGAATTTTCACTTGAATTTGACAGCAGACTTATTTCTGACCGATCAGGAATCAATCTTGACAAACACCTTTACAAAAGTCGGACGATAAACAACAAAGGGATTTTCGAACACTATAATTTATTTTCGAAGTGTAAAGTTAAAGTGAAAATTCACCAAATGTAACACAACCTTAAAATCTGTGATTCTCGGTTGGAAAAGTGAAAAATCGGTACTTTTGAACCTTTCGTCTGTGAATCGGTAGGCATCCCAAAAATCGGTAGGACTACCGATAAATCGGTACGCACTTAATCTAGCTCGGTAAAATCTCCAACAGCCGATTACCTCGGCATTTACTTTTGCTGATATCTCTGCACAATTTCTGTTTGTTAGCTGATATCCTAGTAAAATGTTATTTGTTAGCTGAGTCTCGGCAATTGTTTTACTGAATCTTAGCAAAATAAATTGCAGAATTACTCGGCTGTTGGAATCTCGGCGAAAAAAATTTAAATGTGTAGGTCTGGCCACCTTGGGTACAATGGTATACAACGCAGAACGTGCAGAACGTAGCAGCTGACTTTCATTTGTGTTTTTCATGGCTTTTACGTAACTGTTTTGTTGTCTTATCAAGCAGCACTCTAGCATAGCATCTGAACTCAAAATCATCCTGCATGATAAATCCTAGAATTGGATTAAAAATTCCAATAAAAACTCAAAATAAAGTGAAAAAGTGCGTCCTGCCCCGGGGGTGTGTTATGTACCTTTCTCCCCTACCTGCTTCAAAATCCTTTGACGAGCTTTTTTCCAAGTAGTGCAACAACTAGATCATATTGGCACAGCGTAAAGCATGGCCGGTCGAAAATGTGTTTAAATATTTGAATTCTTCAGGCAAAGTTTGGATGTCCTGTTTTTATATATTTGTTACATTTGGCTTGGATGCCTTCAATGGTTCCTTAAAAGTTAATTTTCGGTCAAGTACTAATTCAAGATATTTCACTTGACTTGATCAATAAATTGGAACTCCGTTCATAGTGACTATACGACTACTACTACACACTTAGATTTTTTCGCCGAGATGGGCACCACCGAGCAGCTCGGCATTTTATTTTGCTGGATATCAGTGAAAAACTTGCCGAGATTCAGCTAACAAACGGGAATTTTGCCGAGATCTCAGCTAACAAACATATTTTTTGCTGAATTTCCAGCAAAATAAAATGCCGAGCTGCTCGGTGGTGCCCATCTCGGCAAAAAAATCTAAGTGTGTAGGTTTGGAAACGGAAGCCCTGGGCGTATTGTAATTATAATTGTGCATAAACCGTGCCTTCCGCTACATCGGAGTATGTAGGGACCAACCCCCTAGCTTATGCAGTTGGTCCCTATATACTATACTATATAAGTTTTTTTCGCCGGATCTCGGCAAAACAATTACCGAGATGGGCACCACTGAGTGCTCGGTAACCATCTCGGCAAACAGCAAATTAACCGAGGATCTCGGTAATCATAAAATTCACGGTTGTCAATTTTTGCCGAAAATCTCAGTAAAACAACAACTGATTGCTCGGCAAAAGCATCCCTACGGTAAAAAACATACTGAATCTCAGCATTTTTTTTCCAATTTTGTTTACTTACGTTAAAGAATAAGAAAAAAATAAATAAAAAGATTGTCATGTGGAAAATAGTTGCAAATAAGAAACAATGCAATGGGATTATCATTTTGTATATCTATTATTTTGTAGGTATATATCATTTGGTTAATATTAAAGCACATGCAACAAGCCAAAAAATAACTTATCGGACTGAAAGTTTAAACCAAACAAGAATTATTTTCACTCAAACAAAACAGAACAATCTTGATCTTACATTAATCCATTGGATTATACCATGGAGTGGGTTCATCTTTCGTAGGTTCGGATCCTGCTTCCTCGAGCGTTTTAGTCCACGTTTTGGGTTTTTTAAAGTTGTTTTCGATGCAAAAGACACAGATAATAATTAACTTCTGATCTTCTGAAACATGGCGGTTGGAAAAAAGTGACAGCTGTATTACCGAAATTCGGTAATGGATGGGCCAATACCGATATCTCAGTAAATGCGATTGCTGATTTCGGTATTATTTTTATTTACTGATGTGCTTAGCGAATTACTTTGCGAATTTCGGAAATGTTTTTGATCAATCTCGGGAAAAATATTTTTGTTGTCGAAATATCAGTAAAATTATGAATTGCCGTGTCAGCTCAGTATTTTTTTCTACCGACCTCGCGAATCTGTTTTAAGCGTGTATGGTGCCGTGACCAGCTACTTGATACCGACGGGTAAATAACAGATAGTGCAAAACCATCCAAAAACTGTGACGACAACGAGGACGATGATGAAGATGCTGCAGTGTATGACGCCAGCGATACAAAGAAATCTGCTCCACTTCCCGCTACGATGGTGTGGTCCACAGGTAGCCATCTGGCAGAGTGTGTTCGGTCCTACCTCACCGTAAACTACGACAGTTCTGGGCAGGAAACATACTCACTGTTAGAGGGCGAGTGCGAATGCCGGATTCTTCTGAAGTTAGCATACTTTGTTCTACTGACCATTTTGTCATCTGAGTTTGTCTGATATCATTGTATTTATGTTCCATTAGTTGATAGAAAACCATAGGTTTTGGGGGGGGGGGGGGGAGTATGTTTGTGCATCGTCGATTATATGTGCCACTACTGTACGATTCTAGAAAACAATATACAATACAATAAAACAGTATCTCGTATGCCTCCGCCATGGCAGGACGGCGAAGCAATCGGTGCGTTTTAGTTCTATCCGTCTTCGTAATTATCACAAAACTCAACACAACGTAGGGTTCCCGCCCGTGCGCGATCACAATGTTACTCAGATTTTGACATTTTGTAAATACGTACAAAAATACCAAACTGAGTAGAAGTTACTCACTTTTGAGTAACATTGAGCAAGCGTGTAGATGTAAGTTGGGTTTAATACACATGACAAAATGAAAACATACGTGACGACAGAAGGCAACACTGGGACAAAAATCAACCTTTAAAGGGAAGTTCACCGCTCCGAAAAAAATAATTCATTTTTTTTTGAATATTGGAAAAAGGTGGCAAAAATATAAGAGAGTCATAGTTTTTTTTTCTGATTTTTTAGATAAAATTCGCGTGCAAAGGTGTTTTTTGTAAGTCATCAGGGCATAAAGTTGGACTCAAAAAACCACAAATCATCGACCTTTCGGTTTTGCTTACACACTTAGAATTTTTTTTTTTTTTTTTTTATTATAGTCATTTTAACACTCTTGGGTCATTCGTGACTTGTCCGGAGGTGAGATTTGAACTCGTGACTTTGGCGTGAGAGGTATGGATGTTAACCACTACGCTGGGGTCGCCCCCACTTAGAAAATATTACCGAACTCGGTTTGATGTTAACCGAGTTTTTATCTGCTGAACGCTCGGTAGTCTGTTCGGTTCAAAGAGGAATAACCGACTTGTCGTTAGTTCTTTTTGTTACCCACAATCTGTCAAAGTTACTGAAAATCTCGGTTGACGAAAAATAAATTTAAGAAGAAATAACCGAACATTGGTTTACTCAAGAATTACCGAACGCAACGAACTGACCCATCTGTTGTAATTAACTGTACTGCGACCAGTAAATTGATCTATTGTAGTATATCCTGTGTCCTTAGTTTAGTGCATTTCGTATTACTCCATCACTATAAAGAAATGATGAAGTATTCGATTTTTTTACAGTTGCCACTCTTGCATTTATCGCAAGGATCCGGCTCTAATTTAAAGGTCCCGCTATTTATACCCTTCGGGGTGTTGAAACACCCTCCAAAGGCGCGCCCATTTGTCAGTCAAAATTGGATTCCTCAGCAACAAAATTAAGGTATGACACCGATAATGACCATGCATCAGAACCCTAGTCTTAACCACTTCAAACTAGGGAACAACGAATAGAAGATTAGGAATCACATAGATAAGGACAATTAACTCATTTTTTCCTTGTTTCAAGATCATCCTCGGTAGACAAAGCCGAGTCTTGTCACTATCAAAAAGGCATAAAAAGTAACAAAGACTAAGATGTGTTCCTTGGATTACTGAAAAATCCTGTTCCCCCAATTTTTAAGTAGTCAGGACTAGGAATCGGTGGTAGATCTTACATCCCATAATGTATCACGAAAAGATGATCTACCCACGTTACGGGGTAAAAAAAATTGGATTAAGGATACGTTGTTTCGAATTTTCATAAAAATAAAACCAAAAGAAATGTATGAAATATATTTATTTAATTTGTTTTGGGATGAAAATTCACAGTTTCTGCCTCAAAGTTCCCTGATACGTGCCGTACTATTTCGTCACAAAGCTTAATAAAATCATTGATTTTTGTGTAAAGTAAACCTTCATCATATGTAATCATATGCAGATGCTAATATTTATTATTTTTATTAACTCTTCCAAATCTATACTTGATTCGAGTTTAGGACTGTTCTGTAAATCAGCATATGTTGTTTGTTCTGCCACAGGACAATCATCAAAAATTTCTTCCACGGTAGAACCATAGCAGTAACTCTAAAACTAGAAGGTCTCGAAGAAACGAGCTCAACTTTTTGGCTCAGCTCTGGTACTATCTTCGGTCCCAAGCTAATCGATTCACCCCTCGAAACATAGGAAAATCCACTAACCCCTCATTTTATCTGTCAAACTTTCATAGCAAATCCAAACAAACATAATGTAGTACTGGAGTTTTTACTATAATGGGATACGTTAGTCAATTTGCTTGGACCAATAGGCTAGTCAAGTAGTGAGCCAATTTAAAATCGTTAGTTTCATATTGATTGTTGGTAGAACTTCGAGAGTTTTCCGGATGCTTTTCCACAATATGCCGTTTCAGCGAATAAAAACTTCCGTAACGCGAGTTACAGCGTGGAAAAGTACAGTCAAAACGAGCACACGCGAGAAAAAAAAATGGCTGACTCAGCTTCGAGAACCGAGTTTTTGGTTAAAATTTCCGTCGTGAAGTTGAGCGCAAGTAGAACGTTTGACGTTTAAGCGTTTGAAGTTTAACACGTTTTAGCGAATATTCGGTTCAATTTACCGAGTTTCTCAGTTTTCACGTAGGGGAATTTACGTATTCTCGGCAACCTAAGCAGCGACCTTCTTTCTATAGCCTTTTTCTCTATGGAACGCACACATATGCAGTATTGGTTTGTTTACAATCTTTTGCTGCCAGCTGCTATAACAATTTCAGTCGAAAAATTGTCAAAAACTGTTTTGATACGCTTTTACAAAGCTCCAATCTTCTCTAGTGAGAGCGAGTATTGTCGGCAACCAGTTTTTCTTCGGCAACCGTTCCATTTGAACTGCATGTAAATCTGCTGTTCTATTATCGGCAACTCGAAATCAGCTACAATTTGTAGTGCGTGTGTTTCATTTCAAGAAAACCCTGCTAGATTGCTTTTTCTCAGTGGTAAAAATATAGTCAAATTGAAACTGAAAGCATAAAGAATCGTTTGCATGCATTCAGCGAAGTGTTTTCATAAGAAAATCCAGTGAAAATAGTGTTTCAATTTGGGTTGCCGAAAATAATCTGTCATGTCGAAGCCGTCATTTCCCCTACCTAATTCGTAAATGTCGATACCGTACTTTTCGGTTAAGTCTTCATTTCTATCTGTCAAATTTATACTATTTTACCTAAATTCGGGTCTGATTCGATAAATACGCCTGAAAAAAAATGTTTTTAAACAATTTTCCGGTTTCTCGTTGGTTCGGTTAACCGAAGAGGTTCGGTAAAAAATTAAACCGAGTTCGGTATTATTTTCTAAGTGTGTAGAGTTCATTTTTTTCAAGAGAAAGAAAAAATGTTTTTGCATGTAAATTTTCTCGAAAATCTAACTAACATCTAATTTTCTTGGATCTTTGATAAATTTTCCCAAAAATTTTGGAAAAATAAAAATGAACCGAAAAAAATATATTTTTGGGGCGGTGAACTTCCACTTAAAAACGGGAATGTGCATCTATAATTATCAAAACTATTTGGATCAACACAAAAACAACAGTGACCAAATGGGCACCATAGCCTAGGAACGTATGTGTGCTGATTTAAAATAGAGACACATAGAAGTAAATTCACCAAAAAAAAAAGTGGTCCAGTGTAGAGTTTTAGCAAGAGTATGCTGCCACTGTGGCTCAATCCCAGTCGGCGCCGCCGGGATGTTCTGAGGCATAACATCTCTGATCACGGGAAGTAAAGCCGTTGGTCCCCGGTTCATGAGTTGATGGTGCTGCTTTCCTGGCATCGGTAGCATTGGTGCTCAGCACGGAAAACAAGATCGACGGAAAACAAATCAAGGAAAAAAGTCCTTAAGTACTGACTAAGGTAGATTGACAAAAATGAGACGGACCGAAAAGTTGTGGATCACCTTTGCTACCATAGGAGGAGAGGTAGTGTAGTGCCATTTAATTTAATTGCACCCTGTAGAAGATTAAAAAACCAGTACTATTTACTCCTGAAATCATTGTTTTTGAAAATATATGTATAATTTACAGAATTCCATAACATATTGTAAAATATCTTTGCTCTTCTAGGTTCAGTAATGTTTGTACCTAATGAAAATGATGTGGTTGTCATCGCTTCATCCAGCGGTAGTTTATCATTGGGTTGGTATTCAACAATTACAAATAACATTACGCCTTGAATATTTTAATTTTTATTTTTTCTAGCGAGCTCAAGTACTACAGATCCAGCTAGGAAGTGTTCTAAGGAGGAAATCGAACAAAAACGTCAGGAAGCACTCAAACGGCAGGCCAGTCGCCTGAAACGGCTCATGCAGGGAAATCATTCGCAGAGCGATGCAACAATCTTTAAATTGTAACTGAAATGATGTTTTTATTTTGGAGATTTATGATTGTTGAGTTTATTAAGTTTTAATTACTTCAAGGG